GTAATATACTTACAAACATCCCTATTCAGCTGCTGATGTTCCAAGTAATGTATACTGGAGAAATGCATTCACCAGCCTGTGCACACTCAAACAGCTCACTGAGTTCATCGTTTTGCAGACGGAAAGAGTTGAAGATAGAGATAGAAGGCACGTGGCCGGACAGGGCTCCGTGTCAAATAAGGTAAAGCAATTTTTTGTGTATGTACCTTACAAACACCTGACTTGCAAATTCTCTGTAAATATCAGATCAGTTCAGAAAAGTTAATAATTATTTTTTTATTTTTTCATTTGCATCCAACTTGCTAATTGCAAGAAGGATGATGCTCTAAAAAATGTCTTAATAAGAGGCTGAGGTAATGGAGTTGTTATTAGTTGTGAGAAAAAAGAATTAAACCCTGGACCCTAGGATTAGGTACCTGGGACCAGGGGCGGATTAAGGGGAGGGGGGCTGTGCCGGCCCCGTCCCACCCCACCTTTTTTAAAAGGTAAAAAAAAGAAAGAAAAAAATTGATCACCCAAAACGCCTTAGAGGTTATTTTCTGGCATCTAGAACACAAAAATTTCGCAGGGGTATGTCCCTAGATCCCGTAGGGTAGTGTTATCTTGATCGGCCCCACTTTAGGGGCCCCCTTTCGGGGACCTCCATTATGGACACCCCCATTTTGAACACCCCTGGATCTGCCCCTGGTGACAGCAGGATTTTTTCTCACAACTAGAAACAAGTTCTATCCCAAAGCCTCTTAAAGACAGGCTCCGGAGGGAAAAACTTCAAACGGAATGAGATACAGATTTTTGAATATTTATTTCATTAAACCGTTGCAGAGTTTTCCTCAAACACCCTTTTTGAGGGAAAACCATTAAACAGTTAATGAGACAGTTTTTTTAATATTTAAAAAACTGGAATTAGTTACACCCCTTTATTATTATTATTATTACTATCTTGATCTATGATATAAATGTGCTTTAATATGTATACCTTTACTTTCATTGTCAATTTGAAATAGTATCTTAATTATAAGGCTGGAATAGCCTTGGCGAGGCTAGGGGGTTAAGGCTAGCCTATTTTGCTGTATGACACGTGATGCGAATCCAAAATTTGTTGTATTATTAAATCAATCACCCACCTTAATGTCATTGATATCACATGAGATAGTGAAAGGCCATGTTCATGGTAATATGATGGATCGCCCTCCAGGCATCATACACTAATGGGCAGTGTTTCTGTCAGCTGTTGGATTGCGAACCACAGCATTGATTTTATTGCAGGTGCTTTAGATACAAACTGTTTTACAGTTGTTTGCAATTTGTTGGATTTGATATGACTCAATGTTTACATAATGGCCTCTAAACACCCCATTGTCATGTCTTATATATTTCATATGCTCTATGTTTATTAATTAGCTTCAAAATATGAGGTCAATAATATTTTTAATATTTTTTTTTGTGTGAAGTCCGGTTTAATTTTTCAAAATAATAGATTGTTTTTCTACTTTTTATTTTATTCACTTTCTCTATCTCTTTTCCATGTGTAACATACGAATGTTACATAATAAACAAATAATTATAGACAAAAAAAGAACAATAAAAAAGCAAAAGAAGAATCTCTGAAGCAATATCTTTAATAATGATGAAAAATCCCTTGTCAAATGTACAAATAAATATAATAAGTAAAACCATGGAGGAAATAGTTATAAAGAAATAATTAATTATTTCCTCCATGCTAAATCAATATTATTCAAAGAAGATGTTATTTCCACATAAGTTTAAAAAAAAAAAACAACCAAGTCTAGAATTACAAAACTGTATATTTGGGGGACAATATAACTATAATTAAAACACATTTTTGAAAATATAAAAATGAATGCCATCATACTTTGTTATTTAACAATATTCCTTATATTAGAAATACAAAAAAAGAAAGCTTATGATCATCAAGAATTATATGCAATGTAAACTTTACCATAAGTCTGCAGTACGTAGAATACTGTAGTATGAATTTAAAGTAACAGCAATATACTAGATTATATGAAAGAATAATGGCTAATACCTTTATGCAAGTCAGAGAAAGAAAAACAAATAATAAATTAGAAAATAATAAAATACTGTATCATTACTAGTGGAGGTTTTTCTCCATGTTGAAGTTATTATCATAAAAAAAATAATTTTTAAACTCAGTATAAGAATTCATGCGGGAAGAGGGAATATTTTTTATGATGCCATAGTACTGCAAAAAATATGTATTTAAAAGTACTTTCGGCTTCATAAAAAATATGATTAAAATATTCCCTTGGCCCGCATCTCTTCTCATAAGAATCTTGGAATTATTATTTTATTTATACCTTTATTGTACAGGTAAAAAATATGATTAAAATATTCCCATGGCCCGCATCTCTTCTCATAAGAATCTTGGAATTATTGTTTTATTTATACCTTTATTGTACAGGTAAAAAATATGATTAAAATATTCCCATGGCCCGCATCTCTTCTCATAAGAATCTTGGAATTATTATTTTATTTATACCTTTATTGTACAGGTAGAAAAGAGAGGCCTTCTTCTGGAAATCATCATCTCTCTTTTATATCTCAAACTAGTTTAAGTTTGCCTGTTTTTGTATGCTAATAATAAACTATTTAAAAAAAAAATTTTATACCTTTTTTCAGAGTCAGAGGAGGGTGGAAAAAAATAAAATAATTCTGTTTTCTTAATGTTTAGTAAAGAATTTTGCAAAAAACATCCAGATGGAGGAGATAATAATAATATAATTAGATGAATAGTTAAATGCTTTAAATTTATATAATTAGGAAGAAATATTCATATTATTTTTGGCGATTTCAAGGCAGCGGTGGGCTCTATAAAAATAAATAAAAACTTTTTTTTTATGATATTTCTATTTGAAATCATTATTGGTGGGTGGCAAGTTCGCTAAAGAATGTAAAAAAATAGTCTCGCCTAAAAAATAATCTCATCAATATAATCTGATCTCATGTTCATTGACAAGTAAATATTCCATATTAATGATTGATAACAATGAAGAGACTTGTCATTATGTGAACAAGTTGCTTGAACAAAGGTTGTCTTTGAGTTGTGTCCATTTTCACTGAAATGGCAGTATTTTTAATTACCAGAGTGCTATATTATGTAACTCAGTCAGTTTCCAGTTGGGAAAGAGTGTCTTTACACGTTACAAATATTTAATGAAATACGCACATTTTTTATAGGGTTTTGTGCCCCCCCCCACTTGGCTATGCCTCTGAATATTAGACTATGTGTAAGTGCATGCATTATTTTTATATTGTCATATACAGTCAACATCAATCATTAGAAATATTCATGTACTGCGAAGATATGCATAAGCTGTATAAATTATTCCCCTGAAGATGTGCGCTGTGTTTTCAAGAGTTTGTGTGTCAATCAATTTCACTAGTCTATGTGCTGCCTGTTTTTATGTTGCTCTCTATAAAATATATTTTTAAAAATATTTTATTATTATATTTATTTTATATAAATTAGAGGATTTGATTTTCATTTTGCAGCATCTACTTGCGGATGTCTGGGTCCAGAGAAGTCAGGACCTTGGCATATCTGACGTGCAAATCCACTGTCGTACGCATCTTGGTCACCTTCTAAATGTTGGGGATAGTGTGTTGGGCTTTGACTGCAACCATGCGAACATCAATGACCCAAACTTTAGTACACTCAATCCAGAGTTTGTACCGGATGTGATCTTGGTGAAGAAACATTACGGTAATCGGCAGAAACGTAACAGACGCAGAGCTTGGAAGCTGAAGACGCTTAACAAGGAACTTAATAACATGGAGACGGATTCAACAAATACGTAAGAAAATAACATAATACATAACATTTTGCCAAAGATTAACAGACTTTTTTTTCTATATCTATCTTAGTCTCTTTGGATCTATTGTGTTTGGTCTAGGATATACATTCTTTGTGAGCTAAGTTGTCCGGCAGTGGTTTGAATGTTTGCTACAGAGGCCATCATGGTCCAGATGCAAAGCCCTGGTTGGGCCTAGTGGGTTTAGCTCCCTCGTGTCTAGAGAAACTGGGCAATAATGTTTTGAGAAATTTCACAAAAATGCCTGCAAAAATTTTGGTACGATTAGTTGTGGCAGACCTGGACTTGACATGTCCATGACGGGGCGCTCACTTATTCTGCCCTTGTAGGCACCGCTACTCCCTTTGTCATAAATTTATAACATAAGTGATTGGAATTAATTTGTGTTTGATAAAAAAAATATATCATATATGTTTTTTTGTTTTTTTTCTGGAGCCTGAATTAAAATTTTTATTTTACTAATTCATTTATTATAATGTTATATTTTGTCTTTTTGTATCATAATATTATAGTGATTATAATCAGTTCCTCGAGGATTTGGAGGAAGATGTAGAATATCGAAAGAACGTCAACATTTACCTTGGTTAGTACAAATATCAATTTTTGTTAAAACAAACATCTTGTAAAAAACACCAAATTTTTGAATTGCTTACATGTATATCAATTGACAGTTAATAACTTTCCATTAAATGTCATCTTGCCAAAAATGAATACTGTTCTTTTATAACACAGCTAAGTAGATTTTTGTCATTTGATTTTGATGATTTAATTGGTTGACAATTTTCCTCACAATAGATCGTTCGAAAGTAAATGTTGCTGTTGAGTCGAGTGATGAAGGCGAGATGCCTCAGGTTAGTCTACAGGATGTCTCTTATACACATCTAGATGTGTATAAGAGACAGATGTAACTCAGTCAGTTTCCAGTTGGGAAAGAGTGTCTTTACACGTTACAAATATTTAATGAAATACGCACATTTTTTATAGGGTTTTGTGCCCCCCCCCACTTGGCTATGCCTCTGAATATTAGACTATGTGTAAGTGCATGCATTATTTTTATATTGTCATATACAGTCAACATCAATCATTAGAAATATTCATGTACTGCGAAGATATGCATAAGCTGTATAAATTATTCCCCTGAAGATGTGCGCTGTGTTTTCAAGAGTTTGTGTGTCAATCAATTTCACTAGTCTATGTGCTGCCTGTTTTTATGTTGCTCTCTATAAAATATATTTTTAAAAATATTTTATTATTATATTTATTTTATATAAATTAGAGGATTTGATTTTCATTTTGCAGCATCTACTTGCGGATGTCTGGGTCCAGAGAAGTCAGGACCTTGGCATATCTGACGTGCAAATCCACTGTCGTACGCATCTTGGTCACCTTCTAAATGTTGGGGATAGTGTGTTGGGCTTTGACTGCAACCATGCGAACATCAATGACCCAAACTTTAGTACACTCAATCCAGAGTTTGTACCGGATGTGATCTTGGTGAAGAAACATTACGGTAATCGGCAGAAACGTAACAGACGCAGAGCTTGGAAGCTGAAGACGCTTAACAAGGAACTTAATAACATGGAGACGGATTCAACAAATACGTAAGAAAATAACATATTACATAACGTCTTGCCAAAAATAAATACTGTTCTTTTATAACACAGCTAAGTAGATTTTTGTCATTTGATTTTGATAATTTAATTGGTTGATAATTTTCCTCACAATAGATCGTTCGAAAGTAAATGTTGCTGTTGAGTCGAGCGATGAAGGCGAGATGCCTCAGGTTAGTCTACAGGAGATGTTAGATGACCTACACCTGACTGATGAAGGGATGGAAGAAGCAGCTGCTGGAGCACTGGAGTAAGGGGCATCCCCTTCCCCACATCCTTCCTCAAAACTCGCACCACATCTTACAAATATAATATGTTGACATATTATTAAAGTGCATTGTACAATTAGTACAAAAATTAATTTTTTTATTTGTTTACAATCTATCTGTATCCCTGTCTCTGTATATGGAGGCTTTATTATGAATTCTTGAAATTGACCATCCTTACTCTAGCAACAAGTTTTTCACCTACAACAAGTTAACAAAAATAATGCGTCCAAAATTCGCATGCGCGCAAGAAAAACATGGTTATAACGATAAAGTTGTTGATTAAATACCCCTATTTATGCAAAGAGGAAAATAAGGGCGATTACACCGATTAAGTGCACGTACTGTACTTTTTGAAATAGAGTATTTTAAAATAGCCACAAATAGTCAACTGCCTCTTATTAACATTATGACATACCACGCTATACTTAAATTAAAAAATAGAAATAAAACAAGGCTTCAATTTTACTTAAAATTTTACAAGGATGGCACTGACAAGGCTGGTTTTGCCAAAAGCATCACTCTACTCTACTATTTCGCTCATCGTTATGTTCAAAGTCATTAATGAATGCAGTAATTGCATCCTTTCCTCTCGATTTAATTTTGCAGGAACTGACAAATCCTTGAATATATATATTCTTTCTTTATTGTCAAACTCGTATTAAAAAAGCAAATTCGAAAATTGACTTCCTTGCAACGAAAAACAAAGGAAACAACTGTACAATAAAAATATGCTGTTCCAAGAAAAAGTGAATCCCTTCATATTCGGCCAATCCTTTTATGAGAAATTTCACTGGAAACATCACCCTACCATTTACCATTGTTATTTTCGCCAAGTTCAATTTCATTGATGCATGCAGTAATTGCATCCTTTCTCCTTGCTTTAACTTGTGTAGGAATTGGCAAATCCTTGTATAAAAATGTGTAGTTTAAAGAAAAAGTGAATCCCTTCATATTTGGCCAATCCTGGGAAATTCAAGTAATGGCACTTATTGTGCCTGACTGTCTTTGCCTGATGCGATTCTATGGCGAATGGGACGCCACCACACGCCGTGCAACGGATCGTTTATAATGACGATCCGTTCAGACTTTAAATAGTCGGGTGCCTCTCATTAACATTATGATATATAACATACCATGCTATACTTAATGCTCTTCCAAGGATGGCATTGAAAAGAGTGGTTTTGCCAACCCGTTTCTTCCCCAGAAATAACACTCTACTATTTATCAACGTTATTTCGCCATTTTCAAGATCATAATGAATGCAGTAATTGCATCTTTTCCCCTTGCTTTAATTTGTGAAGGAACTGACAAATCTTGAAATAAAATATTTTGTTTCAAGGAAAAGTGAATCTCTTCATATTCGGCCAATTCTGTTATGGGGAATTTAAATAGTCAGCTGCCTCTCATTAACATTATGATATGTAACATACCAAGCTATACTTACTTTAAAAAGTAGAAATAAACAAAGCTTTAAATTTACTTATGCTTTTCGAAGGATGGCATTGACAAAGCTAGTTTTCCCCCATACGCCGTGTAACGGATCGTTTTTAATGACGATCCATTCAAACTGCTACCGACAATCAACACCGTGGTCTTGTTAACAGTGAGCAGAGTTGGATTAGTTGGCCAACTGTCGTACATCCATCGTACGACACATGGCTTGACAGTGATGAATAAAATTGAAATGATGAATAAAATTGAAATGATTTAATAGACACATAGACAAACATAATTAATATTTTATGATTCAACCATAATATAGTGTCAAAATTATGATTTTTAAATTTTGTTCATTGTCTTAGAGGCATTTACGATATTTATCAACTTTTCAGAAGTGTCTTAATGGCTGTTCTCTTTAATTTGTAACACTATATTCCTGAGATATTTAGGTTAGTAAGAATATTATGATATTTTAATATATTTTTTTTTGGATCTACCTGTATTCGCAAGTATATTTACAGAGTGACAAATATATTTCTGGTTTTAATTGTGGTTTATTGGGAAAGTTACTGAAGGTGCGTTTTTGAACGATAAACAAGGCAGTGAAAAATAAAAGGCAATAGTAACAATGTGTTCAATGTAAATATAAAGGTTTATGATTTTAAAACATTTTTAAAGATGATGATTATAGCAGGATGAATGTGATGATTATGATGATGAAGGTTATGATTATGAGGATGACGATTATGAGGATGATGAGAATGAGGATGACAATGGCGGTGGTGGCAATGACTCGTGTACGGAAAAAGGAGTATCTTGAGTTAGGTGCTAGTACAGTGAACACTTTGTCCTAAAGCTAGACACCCAGTATCGCTAACATAATAAAATATGTACGAATTCAGTCTAATTGATATTAGAATTTTAAAGGTACGCAACAGCTCATTTTTCTTCAATTTTAAATCTCTGCATTAGTTAGCCATTCCAGATTCAGTGTCAAATTTCATTTGGTTCCTGTGTAGTAAAGCAATAGAAACCTTCACAATCGTCGACGCATGTTCGTCCGTGTGTTTGTAAAGATGATGGCATCAAATTGAATTCGTCGAAAGTTTTGTAAAGAGAAACCTTAATTTCAATACACCTGTTGGTTAATTGTTTGCATACATGTAGTGTATTGGTCATGAAACCTAATCGTGCCCTATTGCTTGAAAACATAATGTTATATTAATGTAATACACGAGAACTTTATTATCCATATCCAAGACTCTAGCGTCAATGGTATCAGAGGATTATTGAATGTCTATTTTGATAAAAGCCAGTTAATGCGGTTGTGACATCTCCTTTTGACTCTAAAATTTTTACCTGAATTAACAACTTAAAATATAGGCCTATATATTTTGAGAAAAGTCCTGGATGCAGCCCTTTGCAAAAGGGGTACAGAAACCTTCACCGGCGAGGAGAAGCCATTTATTTTGTCACGGAACACTGCTCTAAAAAAAGTAGTTTTAGAGTGCCGCTTCCGGGCATATATCTTAAATTTGTTTATAGATTTGATGCCCGTCTTATGTAGCATCCCAATAAACCGGCACAATGTAATAATTTACTAGTAACTAATTATGGCTGCGTAGGAACGAACATCGGTTCCTCGCAGAGGTCTGGATTTTTTTATGCTCGGGGTAAAAAAAACTCGAATTGCCGTGACCTTGTCTTTGATTTTTCTTTCTAAAATTTAATTATTTCATTCTTTGATAATAATAATTATGTATATTTCACTAAATGTTGTGATGGCCCATTCATTAGTTTTTGCATAATCTTGCTATTCAGACAGACAGAAATAGGGCCTGTAGACCGACAGATAGTAATGAATATATAACCTCCTTTGGCGGAGGTAATATTTGTGTTCTACATCCTTTATTAATGTCTGTACAAACATGGATAAATATCTATTACCGGCTTTGAGAATAATCAATGTATGTTATTCAATAGTAGGCCTAGCTGAATATTATAACTTTCGAATCTCGTTACTACGTTTCCGTGGCAATAAGGTCTCTGCTGGCAAGGACCACTGTTTGGAGTTAGTAAACTAAATCCACAGGCCCGTAGGCTAGGGGACGCCAGGGCCCCCGGCAGGGATGGGTGAAGGGAATTCTCCGGAAGGTTCTACAAATTAGAATTTTGAGAGCCTTTTTCCCCAAAATTTAATCATTTCATTCTTTGAATATTAAGTATCATTTTGCTAAATTTTAGGATGATCCATTTTCATTAGTTTTTGTATAATCTTAAACAGTCTTTTGATAATCAAAATTAATATTGTTGATCGGCAAAATTAATATTTTTTAGTCTGACGACCTCGTCGTGGCGTGCAACAACAGGGGTCTGACGTACTTGTCTACTGACTGAGGGGAGAAATTTACGCCTGAACCCCCGCTGGCTCCACCACTTTAGTCCCCTGGTGTGACTCTACTAATCGTAAAATCGTAAATCGTGGATGCATATTTAGAGAGGAATAGCTGCTGTTTGTTAATAGCTCAGAATTGAACTGCAGCAGAATTTCAAGAATGTCTATAAATTCTATCAAGAATGTCTGTACGATGAGTTCTAAACTTTCTGACCTTGAAAAGTTCAGTTTCGTTACCCTTTTTGATGCGCTATTGAGAGTTAATATTGTGATGCGGAATGTATTGGTTTTGTGGAAAGCCGACCCTCCTGCTTTCTGTATATTGAAAATAAAATTTAAAAAAATCAAAATGAATGATAGGCCTATTAATTAAAAAGAAAAAAACACTAGGCATTGCGGACGAGCGGAGGCACTGCGGACGAGCGGAGGGGTAAAACTCCGGCCAGATAACCCCATACTCGCGGACGCCAGAAAATGTTCACTCTTTTCACCACTTATCCCCGACCCCCTCATTCTGGGTATGGTGCTGTTCTGTTCTGTTTGGATGCTGCCTGTGCCGAAACTACAAATGTCAGGTTTATTGAATTTTGCGCATTTTTCTTTTATTTTCACCATTAGATATCAATAAAATATATTATAAGTCAAGCGTGACATCATAACTGCTACTACCAATGTTATTTTCCTATCCCCTACCGTGCACTAATTTATCATTTGTACACGGTCTGCTTCATCTTATTAGGTTCGTGTGCAAAAGGCCAAAATGATTATAATGATGATGATGATTGTGGTGATGATGATGATGATGATGATGATTACGATGACGTTAATGATGATGACAAAGTATTAGATGCATAACATTCTTTTATTATTTAAAGTAGGCCTATATATTCACAATATTGTGTTAATGTGGAAAGCTTTCGACGTCGTACGTTGCGAAGCGGGAGTAATGTCGTAAATTAATTGCGCGTTCCATATCCATCAGCACTGCGTCCGTGTACTTTGTACTGTCTTCTTCATTTGAGAGCGGTCTTCAGAGGAGAGTAAACGGACGAGATGGTGCTGCGCGTTCAACAATGTGATATTATTATTATTCATCTAGATAATTTCTGTTAACAAGGAGTTATTTATGAATCACAGATGAGAATACGATCTGGGACATCCGTTGTTGTGATGATCGACGAAATAAATCCCGTGAACGAAAGCCCATTCCGTGGATCGGTACAGTAAATCCGGGAGAACACACACGGAGTATACATAAATTATAAAAAAAAAGGTAAGCCACGCACGAACGGAGATGGTGAAATTCGTGAGAAAATGTGTGTTGGTGACATTTCGGAGTGCCAAGGAGTAGACAAGATATTAGCCTATTAGAGCTGTTCGGCGTAAGTTCAGAACAGGCGGATGTCGTTAAAACCATTGTTTCTCGATCGACATTGTTTAAACTGGGATCCAATTATAGGCATAGGCCTATATATATATATAGTTATACCTACCACAGATAGTTTTGAAGTGGAATAAAAGTGTTTGAATTTTAACTATTAGTTTTAGTTCTATATTATTAGTTTTATTATAAAGGCTTGTTGCTGATGATATAAATTTAATAAATTGTATTATTAATTATAAATTTCTTTTGCAACTTCCTGATATACATTACTGTCCCAGCGGGCACAAAACGTTAATTCAACGTTGAAGCAACGTTGAAATGTAGTTGAAACGTTGAAATCATGTTCACAACATATACTCAACATTGAATCAACGTTGGAAATATGTTGTGTATTTAACCAAAGTCGCGGTTGATAATTTAACGTTAATTCAACGTTGAATTAATGTTGAAATTTGGTTGAAAATGTAACACTTACAGTACCAACAAGTATTCAACATCTTTTAAACGTCAAGTTAAAATATAGTTTGCATTTCAATGTAGAATCAACGTTGAAAATGTGTTACGTTTTTCAACCAAAA